TGTGTGTGTGTGTGTGTGTGTGTGTGTGTGTGTGTGTGTGTGTGTGTGTGTGTGTGTGTTTCCTTTGAAATGAGGTAACTGATTGTTTGACGCGTGTTTGAAAATATGTGTGCTACGGAAGACTGACTGTCTTATTCCGTGGTGTAAGAAGCAGAAAAAAAAAAAAAGAAGAAAAAGTTATTCTTCTTCTTCTGCTTCTGCTTCTGCTTCTGCTTCTGCTTCTGCTGCTGCTGCTGCTGGTGGTGCTGCTACTCTCTGCGATCTGAACCATTGCTCCGTTTTGTGTCTGCGAGATGTTTGATTGCGCAGGGCTCATGCTAATTGCGCTTCTCCGTATCATTCAAATTGTAGCGGATGTGCTGAAGGAGACATGGCATCGTGTTCACTTAGTTGGCCTTTCGCTTCTTTGATTTTTTGCTTTTGATATCCCACCTTATCGCTTTCCTTTTGATCATTTGTTCCTTCGTAGATGGCTCTCGCCCTTTGGAAAATGTGTAATCATCTGTATCGTCACCTGAATCATCACTGAATCATCACCTGAAAATCACGTGAATCATCACCTGAATCATCACCTGAATCATCATGTCATATCATATCCTCATTTGAATTATTTTCATCTGAATCATCATCTGAATCATCATCCGAATCATCATCTGAATCATCATCTGAATCATTATCATCAGTTCTGAGCTCAATTACCTTAATTATCAACGGAAAGCTAATCATCATCTGAATCATCATCTGAATAATCATCGGAATGATCATCTGAATGATCATCTGAATGATCATCTGAATCTGTAGGCTCTTCTGAGTCCTAATCATCAGACTACTAATTTTTAAAAATATGTTCTTTGTTTTTTTATCAGCTCGTCATGATTGACGTCATCTCTAAAACTTTGTCATGGGCGTTGTGATTGCAGGACGGCACGTGGCATCTTCTTCTCTGCAGGTGTTCAGCACAACATCATTCACCTCCTTCGCCACGTGGCTCTGACACGTGGCTCATCATTTCCTTCCCACGTGCCTCGGACACGTCAGCTTCCGGTCTGTACCTGAGTCTGGATCTGGGACTACACTGACCAGAAAACGCATCCCCCCCCCGCTCTCTCTGTTGTTCCCAGCTCTGCAGCCGTCAAGCCAATCATCTTATGCCACGTGGCTCAGCCTGTGAGAGATAGCGAGCGAGCTCCAACAGATGAACCGAGCTGACTTTTTTTATAGTTACCACTCCTGTGTGCTTTTTTTTTTTTTTTTAATTGCATTCCTGGTATTGAAAATCTCAAACTGATTTTTTTTTTTTTTCCGAATCAGGTGGACTCTTTTCGTTCTGAGTGTTATTGTTAATTCCCAAAAAAAAAAAAAAAAAAAAAACAGCAAAAGGGGTGCCGCAGTCTCTCGTCTCTCCCCATGGCCGCCACTGTGCGCTTCTGTTCTCTTTCTCTTCCACTTCTCATCGTCATCCTGATGGCTTTCGTGCTGGTCGTTCTTGAAGCTACTCCTCGTCCCAGCCATGTCCGGGTCCGGGCTTTCGACGGCGGCGAACGACTGGTCGCAGGCCGCGGGGACAGAAGTTATGCTGCTGAGCGCCGCCTCTTCGGCAAGTGCAAAACCTTCGCGGATTGCCAATGCCACTGTCATCATTTTATACGTTCCCCCTGCGCCTGTCCCGCGGTGTACTACGAATGCTGCGAAAGGGGAGTGTGCAAAACGCATTGCAGCCGGTCATAAATAAATGAAGAGCAAGTTGTAGTAGATAAAAGTTATGGGAATCAATCATTTGCAGCTCCAAGGTGTTCCAAAGCCATTCTGAAGCTGTTGTTAAGCTCGTACCGAAGCTGTCCCACCGCTGTCCCACAGCTGTCCCAAAGCTGTTCCAAAGCGTTTTTGAAGCGACCGTCTTCACCCAAGTAGAACGCCCGGTCATTATAGCCGTATTTGATGCATTTTTCAGTCCAGATACGGCCATAATTACCGGGCGTTCTATCGGGTGAAGACGGTAGTAAGGAAGCTCCTGGGATGTGCAGGAGTCACTCTCACGGCTGGTAACGAGGCTCCTGGGATCTGCAAGAGTACTAGAAAAATGGTTG